AAGAAAGGTTTGAAGTGATTTTAATCTCTTAATTTAAGGAAGACAGAGTGTATACACCGACGCTATTGTGATCGATTCTAAGCCATGTCACCAAGTCTCCAACCATTGGTTACGATAGTCACGCGGACCCCAACCAGGCAATCTGAATCTTCCAACATGGCTAAGACTAGAAGTTAATGACTTCAAGCACTGATGCCAAATTTTGGTTTGGCCGCTCCTAGCTTTCTTCCAATTATCCCTAACACCAGTGAGCATTGCGCGTCGTGGTAATCGGTGTTCAGGCATACACAACACGTGGCCCAACCATCTCAGTCTATGGAGATTCATAACCTCATCAACTGATTTACCATCATTCCCTAATACCCTGCGTCTAACCTCACTATTACTTACCCGGTGATCCCAGCAGATACCCGCAATATTTCTAAGGCATCTGTGGTCAAATACTAGTAACTTACGAATATCTTCTACTCTTAAAGGTCATGTTTCACAGCCGTATAGTAGAACGGAGCGAACTGCCGCGCAGTATACTCGTCCCTTAATTGATAGACGGATATCTCGTCTTCGCCATGGGTGACGTAAGTTGGCAAAGGCCAAACGAGCTTTTGGAATCCGTGCTGAGATTTCGTCAGACACCATCCCATTAGGGCTGATCAGACTTCCAACATAAGTGAAGTTGTCAACGCGTTCGACTACTTCACTCCCTATCCTTAGTTCAGGTGTTGATGCAGACCAGTCCTGAAGCAACAACTTGCATTTAGAGGGAGAGAAGCGCATCCCAAACATTCTGGCATTGTTGCTCAGTGCTACCAAAAGACTCTGCATTTCATCAGCGTCTTCACCAAACAGGACTATGTCATCTGCGTATTCTAAGTCAATAAGTGGACCTCCTGGTAGGAGATCAATACCCGAGAATTCAGTCGATGAGAGCGTTATTTCCATCAGGAGGTCTATGATAAAGTTAAACAAAAAAGGAGAAAGTGGGCAGCCTTGACGGACCCCACTTGATGTTGCAAAAGCGGATGACAGTGATGGTGGTGTTTTACACTGAACATGTGATCTTTACAGTCAAATCATTCAGTGTAACAGATACCTAAGTTAACCTATTTTTCCATGATTCTTTGAACTGATATCAAGTGGTTGCAGGTAAACGACAGTTCAACCAAGGACCTAACAGAGGCGTTAGTTGAAGTCATTCAGTAAAGTGTGTTGGTAGTCTTTAATGAACAGTCTGTGGTGAAAACTAACAAAACATGTACACTACAGAATAAATGTTACTCTAAATGTCCGAATGACTTAGAATTTAACTATGTACTTAGTACATCATCTTGGTACCTTTCTCTGTAAGGATATTTTAATTACTATAAAACAATCTTTATAAGAGCTAAGTACATAAAATCCCAGTTTTATTGGATTTCTTAATTTAGAAAATGGTTCAAGTGTAATCATTTAAGGTTTTATAATTACCAATTTGAGTTCGAAAAGTTTACGTCACGAACTAACTTGACTTAAGTAATCAGTGAACATGAGGAAGAATGGGAAAGATGTCCGGTACTAGCATAAGACGTTTCGGCAGTATGCACCCACAACACAGACAGGTATCGAATCCAAAACTTTCTAGACTGCTGGGTAATGTTCTACATAAAGAACACTGATTTGAGATGCGTTTAGTTAATATTTATTTAAACACATAAAAATTGATACAAGGAGGCACCGAATAGATATGTGCCACATAAATCATTCGACTTATGTGAGGGCTGGGATACTGCTCGGGTGCCCAAACCGAAACAGGTGGTTTCCATTGGGGGTCACACTCAGAGCCTTTGACCTAGAGGTCTGATCCACAAGGCAGTGGAGCAACGTCAGGAAATGCAGTCCCATAGTAACCGGTGACCAACAATTGGTTCATACGCCATTTGTTCCTTCAGGATCCTGGAGAGCATGTGCACCATTGGTTTGGAATCAGGATTTTTCAACTCCCCTAGGTGGATCCTCTGTATCCACCAACCCGGTTAGAGCGCCAGATACTTGCTCTTCGTCCTCTCAATTTCGTAAACAATACCCTTGCCGCGAGAAGGCTGTGTTGATCCAAGCATACAATTGAAAATTCGAAGAAAACGATTAATCATTTCGTAGCAATGCCTGTAAGCAAGTAAACCAGTCAATTTTCATGCTAAATACATTTAAACTAACATAGAGTAAAATATCTGAAAACTAAGTTATGTTTATTCCTGTTCTCCAACTATTTTATTAAACTTTGTTGCGTATTGATTTATTCTGAATATTCCCACTTTATTCATTGTATTGCAATGAGAACATTGTTTTAATACAAATGTGATAAACTTTTGTTTAGAGCCACTGGAAACCTATACAAATATTTCATCTTAATGTTCGACTCCAAGAATATACATTCACTACTGTACATGAGATTGAACTAAGAACCTTCAGATCATGTAATCAGTATGCTAGGTTCAGTATTCTTGATCAGAACTCAATTCAAATTTCCATTCCATGATCAATTATTGTTAGTGGCGGTACAAAAACTAATCTTGAGCAACTACTGGAAGTTCTCATTGGCTAAATGAAAACTTATTGATGTTATGAATCGCCAGATCCAATAAACCATTATGTTTTCGCTTGATCATCTGTAAGTATATCCATCATTTAAGTTATCAGAAGTATCAAAAGATAATTCCATGTTAATTTAGTACATAATCCACTTCTCGCGATTATATAGTAATTCCCTCAATACTTTGTGGCACGCTGACTCATCTGATGAAAATCGAACAATTGCATGACTTCCATCCACATGATTGGCCTACATGACAAAAATAGTATGTCACAAGCCATTTAAACATCTTTGACTCACATACCAGTATTTTTCGCATTGCAATCAATGTCTTTCGTTCAAACTAATCACAGAGTAACAATCAATGAAATTCTTAACTGTTGATTTTAGTTACACTAGTGGCTGAAAACGTCCTAGTTACCGGGTGTAAAGAATATACAATGGAGGCATTGGATGAAATGACCTAGTTATATTTCAGACATCTCATTTTGTATTGGTTAATTACTGAGAAGCAATGCCATGTTGGCTTAGTCTCTAGTGCTGATCAAATTCTGTCGACCATGTTGTAATGTGATCACTATTTGATATGGCTTAATATCGAGTGGACTATGTTAAGATGTGAGATGGTTCGAGGACGAAACTCTAAATATAGGTTCCATTCTAATCGGGACCGGTTAGTAAGGTAGTATTTTTTTGCGAATTCAAAGAAACTAGCTTTTCTTGATTTGGAAGTAACTAACTTAAACTTTGATTACATTAGCTGACAATATAATGAAGGGATAATCATAAAACTAAGAATGGTATCATGTGAATATATCCCAATTTTTATAAACAGGAATACTAGTAAATTTTTATAAGATGTAACTCCAGATGGCTAGTAACGTTAAATCTCCGGTTATTAGTTCAAGCCACATGAATAACTATGGGCGCCTGCAGTGATCAACTATAACCTGTCAAGCAGTTAGCTTGATCCAAGAAGTTTCGAGAAGTCATTAACCTGATCCAGACTACCTGGTTAGAGTCTACACGATTATCGTAACCAATGTTTAATGATGTTGGACGATATGGCTTGGAATCAGTTACAATGGTCAAAGTGTATTCACTTTCTTTCCTTAGGTATTAAGTTTTGAAATGACCCTAAACTTTTTATCCCTCTAACTTATTATCTATAATTATTGTTTATGACCAATCTCTTTTTTAATGTCACCGATACCTTTATCACTCTGCTATTTGTCTTAATTTCATCACGCTGAAATGATGCGGTATGGCAACTTGAATAAATGCACGTATGCGTCTGACTGAAGTCATTACGCTTCACACTCTGTAATTAATGGTCTAGGACGCATATACAACTAAAATTCTCGGTACTAAAAATTTTTGAGACAAGTAGTATCGACGGCTAGGTATGTAAAGTAAGTGTATTATTTCTAGCACTTTTCATATCCAATTTGAACACAATACTTTGTCCGTTTGCCTCAAATACTTACGCATCCTTCGAATTCTGTATTTCCCTTAAAATTCCGAACTTTTCATGTTGTAAAGTGACTGAAATAGGACCGGATTACTGAAGGTACTTCTACATCACTGTCAGCTTGTAGTTGTAAAGCACCCTATTTAGTGTCATTCTTTGTTTTTTTTTTCATCTTATTTCTCTCACAGACTAATTCCTACTCGTACTCTTAGGTAACTATTTGTAAGAATTGACTGATTATTCACCTTAGTTTTAATCTTTCAATTTTCCAAACGTATAGTTAACCGTTTATTACTTTGTTAAACTGACTCACCACCATCTAAATAGTATTGACTTTTTACTCACCTATAGAACATACATATATACACGTACGTACTCAGAGACACGTTAGCGCCAAATGAACACAAGAATGCAACACTAATATCATTTAAAGAAAACAATCCAAAATATAAAGGTCAGATGCATCTCTTTTAGATTTCTGAGAAAAGTCGTTGGACTTTCGTCAGTACAAAAAATAATAAGTAATGTTATCCATATCAGTAGTTATCGTCATTATCATATTAATAGTAGAATGTAAGCTTCTTCCTCACGTTATAATAAAAAAATGGGTGAGTCAGAAGAAAAAATAAGGGAGAAAAATCGACAAGCATACAAAAAAGTGGAAACATGTTCACTTATTTAAACAAATAAAATGGACGCTATTCTTAAGTAATTTGTCAATTATTTAGAAAATTAGATGAAAACAGATGAATCTCAAAAATGTTTTTCCAGTTCAACTTCACTTAAAAAAGAAATTGACCTTTGTCAATCTGGGTTAACATAATATTTTGAAAGAAATGAAAGGCAAAGAAGTATCTTTGAAGTTAGAAATATCTATGTATGTGGATCCTTATGTTACATTTGTCTTATTTTATTTATGAAAGGAGATAAGAATCACAATAGTAAATCCATTCTTCATGAGAGTTACGAGATTGCTGGTGGATCACGATTTGGTCCCTATTTGTGAAATATAACGTCAAGAATAAAATTTTATATACAGTTACATATTTATACAGATATATAATTAAGACAAAATTTATCTGATTAGATTGGGTGACTGAATAAATATAACTCACATAGGAAACCATATTTTCACATCAAAATGAACTAAGACATTGGATGATAACCTCTAGATATTAGTTTTTTAAGTTAGTTGAACATGTTCCAGGAACCCAAAATCAAGCGTATACGAGTAACACTGATATAACTTAGCCAATATCCATATACTAGACTTTAAAGTACAAGTTATGCAAGAGTTAGTCATACTACCCGGTTACCTATGGTTGTTAATCCGAGAATTTAAGTAACTGAAGGTTCAAGGCTTACACACTCATTGGATAACTTTAACCTAAGAAGAATGTACCGTCAATTCACTAGCCTTTACAAATTATCATACGCGCACTCAAAATGTTTGATGTTGCAGCTGACTGACTGACATCAATAGAAATCGGAAATAAGATCATAACGATAGAACCATGGACGTGATTTAAACATGTTTCACAACAAAGCTATGCATGAGACCGAACACAGACAAAGATAGTCAATCAGCTACAACGCAGGACCAGGCACATATATGCATCGGTCCAAGTTGCCATACCGCATTAGCACAGCAAGACGAACACCAAATTCATAGAAGTAGTTAATTCAGTGGTGATAGTATATAAAAGAAAGGTTTCACATAAGGATATAATACAGAGAAGAAAGAATTAGTTGATAGAAAGAAGTATATGAAGCGATTTTAATCTCTTAGTTTAAGGGAAGACAAAGAGTGTATACACCTACGCCATTGTGATCGATTCTGAGCCATGTCACACACAGTCTCCAATCATTGATTATGATAGCCACGCGGACCCCAACCAAGTAGTCTGTATCTACTAACATGGTTCAGACTAGAAGTTAGTGACTTTGTGCACTGATGCCACGTTTTGGTATGGCCGCCCCTAACTTTCTTCCAATCGTCTCCAACACTAGTCGGCACTGAGCGTCGTGGTAATCGGTGTTTAATCATATGTAACACGTGATCCAACCATTACTGTCGATGGATGTATACAACCTCATCAAGTGATTTACTGTCGTTGCCTAGTTCCCTGCGTCTAGATCAGATTAGCCTCATCCTCTCACCAGCTCACTGGATTAAGCATTACTACTAACCAATAAGGAAGAATGTTGAATGACGCAAGCTTGCACTTTCCTATTTCGGTAGTTAAATAGGAATCCTGTCATCCGCTGAAATTAAGCACATAAAGCTGTAGTTATTAAGTCACACCACCACGAGCAGTCATTACTTGTTCAGAAGACCCGGAATTAAAAACAATCGGTCTCTTAATTAGGCCTAGATTAAATTGTAAGATACCTAAAACCCTAGGGTACTGTTGGTTTTAATATATATATATATATATATATATATATATATAAACAAACAATCTAAGACTGAAGGTGAAACTTTCACAGTCTGTCAAGATAACATAATAGAGTCCATCTTAAGATGGCAGTCAATTGACTGCCATATAAAAATCACTATTGGCATAATGGATTTGCGTACTCAAAACTCTTATTCCAGGAATTCTTAACCACACTATCAAGGTTAATTAAAACATGAATAACACAAACAGGTTTGCTTATGAAATGAAGTATTTTTAACTGGAAATATAAAGTAAGGTTTACCTGGAAGTTGTTGCGAGGCTTCCCATCTGACGACCGAAAACGTGGCAAGCCAAAAAGTACTGCAGCGAAAACCGCTAGCATCGCCACGAATGTCATGATGTAGGTACCGGACATTGGATCTTGGTTACTTTGAGGTGTATGAGATAAATCGTCAACACAAGAGCTGTCACTACAATATTCCTGAGTCTGTCTTAATATTCCCAACAGTTGGCGCATAGCCCCGTTGTGAGACTGTATACATTCACATATATCATAACCTGATTCATCACTCATTTTCTCCGTACAAACTCAGTGGGACAATTGAAAAAGTAACTCGTAGGAGCCGCGTTTTGTACTGGTACGTATGTTAGCCGTTTGACTAATAAAAACAAATATATATTCTCTGGCTATCTAATTTCACTATAATGAAAGTCAAAACCTCTCTAAAAATTGAACTCACGATTTATCAAGTTCTATTTTATTGAATTAGTGCTGGTCGCAATACAATCCGTCTTGTCTGTATTTTCAGATATTAAAATCTCAAAAGAAATATCCAACTTGGATCAAATGTTTCTCTACTGATCGAATAACATTAAAATATTTTTTACTATGAGGAAGTTAAGTCTTAATATGATTTGCCTAGGTACCCAATGCCTTATATCTAAGATTTTACAAAAGACATACAAGGTCTAATTAACTTATATCAAAGTTTCATACGTAATTGTACACATTTAGTGTAACATTTGAAAGGCTTCCTTAAACAAAACCAAACGAATCCAAGCTTACTTCTGAGGCTGTTGAGGCTAATAATCAGCTAAAGCAGAAACTTGCTCAAGTATCTATATTGATGTATCAGAATTTCCATTCTCCACTCGCCTTGATAGTGGACGTTTCGGACAGAGAAGTAGGTGACACTCTTAACTAACTGGCTAAGAAAGCCTGGAAGCAGATTTGTTTCTTCTCAACAAGACTCGTTCCAGCAGAGAAAAGGTATTCTACCTTCGAACGAGAACTCGCAATCTGTCTAACCGTTAAGAATTTCCGACACACTATCTTATGTGCTACAAACGTCTATCCCTCAATCAGTCCCCAAAATTTTTAATTACGCATCGCAGTCTTTAAATGGTAACACTTAAGAGGCACAACTGTGTGAAATTGTAAACATACCAGCGACGGCAATATATGTAAACAGCCCAAACGAACAAGGAACCACTTCACAAAAGCGATAAGTGAAGACAGGTTTCAGTATCAGATAAAACTAGTCGATAAGTTTGTCTCCAATCCGATAAGCTCTTTCTATCATACGGTCTCTCTTCGACAAGCCAAAACAGGAGTTTCTTAGTTGTTAGGTCCTAAGACCCAGCCAACAATGCCGCTGACTTTCTAACGGAACAGTCCTTTCAGGCATTTTACTCACCTCACACCCACTACATTGACGCGAGCTTCACCTGCAACTCAACAAAACTCCCAGAAGTGAACTCGAGTGCTGGCTCGACACTTAAACAAGAACATTTCTCCTGACCCAGATATGGTTAATCCTTCTATACTAAGAGAAGTGACTTCAGTCTCCATGAAAACGCTTGGTGTGATGTTCTCACACTCAGTAAGCCAAGACACAGTACCTTTGAAAAGTAAGGAAGAGCTCAGCAAATATTGTATAAACTACTACTCCGCTACGAAAAACGGGAGACACTCTTGGCAATTATCTGCTTTTGTTACAGATCCCATGGACTGTTCATTTTTCAATTCTTTTCAGATTTCTAGTGAAGCTGATTGGACTTTTCAGTTACAACGAATACATATGAACGCGAAACCAGTATTTTTGGGGCTTTTGTGAACTACAATCAACAGTTTTGTGGATTACTGGTTTATTAAGCATAAGTTACTTTTAAAAACTCACATTGACTATGTAGAAAAGTTATTTTACTTAAACAACTGGTTGAAAATTTAGATTATTTAGATCATTTGGAGTAAATTTTTGGAAGCTAGGATATTTAGAATGAACTGAGATGAAAAGCAAAACATTTCATAGAAAATTAGAGTGAAAAATAGACCATCGTACCTGCAAGTTCTAATATGTTCCCGTAACTGGACGACCATGAAAGTATTACGATGGCCCTACTAAATACAAATAAGACTATACTTCCCGACACCATGCTTTACGCAACGCATCGTAGGGGAGGATATAAGGGCAGACCTGGTTCAAATGTCTCACAAGACGGCCACTTCAATCATTATGTAAGTAGGCCTAATATTGGACAGACCACAGTAAACCAACGAGCCTCACGAGTACCCTCAAACGTTTTAAATGATAAACCTGTGAGACGTAACCTCTCTCAACACTTTCTCATTAGGCAAGATGGATTACTAGGTTACCCAACATCGAACGTTTTAAATAATATACCAGTAACACGTACCTTTTCTCAACACTTTCCCATTGGGCAAGATGGATTACTGGGTTAATCACCATCAACCCAACCTCAACTAGCAGGTGCTTGTCTTAACTGTCCGCCTAGTCAAGTTCAATAAATTAATCCGCTTTATCAAAATAATGATTTTTTGGCCTTCAGAAATCCCTGGTCCCACTAACACTACAGTCTGCTCAAGCGATCGCCCATGTGATCAGTCAAACATAATAAACCACAGTCTATGCAAATCCAAAATACACGACATCAATAGGGAGGCTCTCGGTTTTTTTACACTCCATACTCCGTTTTTAAATCTATTACTTATAAATGCATTAATGAGGAGAGACTAGCACTTAATAGTAACCCAAAAGTACAAAACTTAACTCTACTTCCCAATAAACGCGCTAAAGTAACTCAAAATATTGATATACCATGCATCCAGCATAATAACACGTTTATATACGACTCTAAAATTATGGCAGACCTTTTCAGTGGTATTTTTGCGAATGAGGTAGGAACCACAAGTGGCTCTACTTCAAGAGTTACGTGCGTGACCAGCAACTCCATAAAATCCATCTCCTTCACTAGTAAGAAAATTAACATGGCTATAAATACCCTTAAGCTTTCGCGCAGCCATGGAGCAGACGGGATTCCATTATTTCTCTACAAATATGGTGGTCCAGATATTCCACTTCTTCTTCTAAAGCTGTTTACTCTCTCTATGGAAACTGGTTCTTACCCTTACTGTTGGAAAACCGCGTACATCATACCACGTTATAAATCTGGAGATAAGACTGACATGAACAACTATCGGCCAATAAATATTACTCCAGTGATCTCTGCGATTATGGAGAAAATTGTAAGTGATGACCTTTCCAACTATTTACTCGCTGAAAACTTTATCAATGATACTCAACATGGATTTCTCAAAAATCGATCCTGCATGACATGTCATTTCGATTTCTTTAATTTAGTCTACTCTCTACGTAGCCAAGGATATCTAGTCTTAGTGCTATATCTGGACATTTCTAAGGCCTTTGACATGATTAGCCACCAACGTCTTATGGGCAAACTTGCATCTTATGGGGTTCAAAATCCTTTGCTAGATTGGATTGATTCATTTCTCAGCAATCGACATCAGATAGTTAAAATTAACTCTTCATTGTCTAACGCTGTCCCTGTTAGAAGTAGTGTAATACAAGGTAGTGTCTTAGTCCCTTTGCTCTTTTTAGTGTTTATCAATGACATTTATGAAATTTTTTGTGTGGGTAAGCCCCTTCTATATGCAGGTGATCTTAAACTAGTATATTCATTTTCTCCACATGAGCTGGAAAATATGCAAACTTGCATTAACTTGGAGCTTAACAAGGTAGCACAGTGGTGCTTAAAATGGCAACTGGAACTTAATACGGCTAAATGTAAATGGATATGCTTCGGCGATACATCACTTAACCTAGACCTTATCATAAATGGAGAAATGTTATCAGGGTTACATACAGTAGTAGACTTAGGACTTAGATACTCTCAAGACTTATCGCTTACAGAACAGATATCGAAACAGACCTCCAAGTCACAACGTCAAGTAGGTTACATAATTCGAAACCTTCATAACAATGAATCACAAATTTTAATGTACAAAGTTTATGTTCGACCTCTTCTAGAATATTGCACGTTTATTCTTAGCAGTGCGGGCATAAAGGATAAATTAAGGCTTGAATCAGTACAGAGACGATTTACACTTCGTATTCTCGGAGCTGATTGTACCTTAACTTATAATTCTAGATGTAAAAAACTAGAGCTAGACCCTTTATGAAAGAGGAGACTCAAACTACATCTTATCTTTTTCTTTAAACTACTTAATAAACTATCCTTCATATCCAATCACTTAATTCAATACGCAGAAACTCCTCATTATGAAACTCGTAATTCCTTGGCACTGGTGAAACAAACTTATTCTGAATCATCTCTTTATATGAATTACTTTGCCTGTAAATTTTCTAGACTCTGGAATAACCTACCAGAACATATCCGTACGATAAAATCACTCCCAATATTTGTACGTTGCATCGATGCATACTGCTCCTCTGAAAATGCATTGAATGCTCTAGCACCTGCAAGTGTATCTCACTCCACTAGTGTTATTATAGGAAGTTTAAATCATTAGGCATTTTTATTAGTGCATTCTCTGGATAAAACCACCAACTTGCTGTCACTTTATGTTAATACCGTCCCCAGCTAGTTTAACTAATTTGAATATCATCAACAGTATATCACTGTGTCACATGACATACGCATTTTGATAGATCTGATTGACATATTTCGGTGATTACTGCTTTGTTGTTCCGTGATCTCTGTTTTCGTTTTAATTTCTCTAGTTGTAGATATTTATCATTAAATCGATCTGGCATACGAAATGACCTTAATTACTCCATTCATAAATCATCAGGCCGTCCATCTAAGAAATATTAAATGTTCCCGGCTGATGCATTGAATCGCTGTAATACATGTACTACCTAAATAATTACTGAACTAGTATACATAAAACTTTCTTCTATTACATATTTGTTCTGTACATCTAATCTTACTATTGATATCAAATTGATCATGCCTGTAAACTGGCGTGAATTCTGTAATTATCATTTTTTCAGAATATAAATTATTATTATTATTATCAATCAAATTAGCACAACTTATCTTTAGTTAAAATCTTCAGTTAAAATACACTCAGTAAATATTTCATTTTTAAAATTGGATCCCCATACTTTCCTAAAATTTTTCTACTTCGAGACATATTTCCTAGCTTTACACCGAAATTAGAGCGACTCCACCATATACTATAATGGTATATTTCTGCAAGGGCAGGCACACGCCATTTTTACAGGCCCG